CTGGCCGCTCACGCTGGCTGCTGGCTACACACGGTAGCCCATGGCAACCCACTGCCACAGGGGCTGCAGCCCACGCCGTCGCCGGCGACCCACAGCAGCCCAGCTCCAGGTTGAGCTGTTGTTCAGCATCTTAGCTGTAGAGGGCAGCGTCACTGGCCCTCATATGTGGGATCCAAACCGGGGCCCTCTGGTGTCTCAAGCCAGTTCTTAACCAACGCGCCACTCGACCGGCCCTCAAGATCGTTTTGATGATGTCCTTTTTGCATTTGATTTATACTACTAAACTCTTTTGTCTTTGAGCACATTTCCCTGGGGTACTGGATATTTATTTTTGCTTGCCCACATCTTCTCCGTCTTCTTAACAGTACCCAGACTTTTTTTGTTGTTGAATGTTACATTTTCCCAAATTATGTGCAGTCATATTTGCTTTAGATCAGAGTGCCCAGCCTTCTCACTATAAAAGCTGAAGGGAGCACTAGAGGCTGCTTCTTCCAGATCCTTCCTCTTGCCAATCTGTATATCTGAGAAAGCGCTGAGTGATTGAAGGGGGAAGAAAAAGAGTCGAATTTTGTTTCTTACAGCATTCAGAGCTTTGATGGTAGAATAGCTCCTACCTTGGCGTTTTCCTGCTCTTAGACCTAGTTATATGCCTTTTCTTGTCTATTTTGTGACTTCCACAATATTTTCCAATACATTTTAAGTTTTAGCAGTTACTGTGGAAAACTTCCAAATAACTATAATGGATATTCAAGTTCCAGGCTCTCCTAAACTGTGCAGACCCATTGGGAATGGCTGGAAGGACTGACCTCGTGCAGTTGAGATTACTTATGAGCACCTGTGAGTTTCTTTAAGCGAAAATGAGAACATGACTTTTTCAACGTAAAAACATCCAAACCTGTAGAGAGTTTTGTAAGAGTTTATTTGAGCCAAACTGACAATGTGCCAGGAAGCAAGATCACAAATGCTCCAGACAGTTTTTCAGTTTCTTTTATACATTTGGAATTAAGGACGGAACTAAGTAAGATTACATGAAAATGAGAGAAAGCAAGGTGGGAAAATCTCTATGACTGGATTACAAGATTGTGTAATCTAGTTAACAAGATTATGTGCCTTCTTGAGGGTGGTTACTCCTGTTGGTGAAATTCATTTGAGTTGTTCCATATAATTACAGTTCCTTCATTTTCATTGTTGTTTTTTATTCCATTGTATAAATATACCTCAATTTGATTATCCATTCTAATATAGGTAGACATTTGGGTTGATTTCCAGTTTCAGCCATTAGAAATAGTGCCGCTATGAACATTCTTGTACATGTCTTCTGGTGAGCATATTAATATATATGTATTTCTGTTGGTTATATGCCTAGGAGTGGAATTCCTGGGTCATAGGCTATGGGTCTGTTTAGCTTTAGTAGATACTGCCAAACAGTATTTCAAAATGGTCATCCCAATTTACACTCCCACCAGCAATGTAGGAGAATTTCATTTGTTCCACTCCTTGACTTGCAGCTGCCTAACTCTAATCTCTGCCTTCACCATTACATGACATTCTCTCTGTGTGTCTAGGTCTTCACATGTCCATCTTCTCATAAGGGTACCAGTCATACTGAATTGGGGCCCACCCTACTCCGGTATGACCTCATCTTAACTAACTACATCTGCAACAACCCTATTTCCAAATGTGGTCATATTCTGAAGTGCTGAAGGTTAGGATTTAAAATATATCTTTTTTTGGGGATACACAATTCAACTTAAATGCGATGGTAATGGGCATCTGTTCTTGATCTCTGGGAAAACTTTCAACTTTTCACCATTAAATGTGATGTTTGCTGTAGTTTTTTTTAGTGGATACTTATAGATACTTTATAAGATTAAGGAAGCTCCGTTTTATTTCTATTTTGCTAAACTTTTTAAAAATCATGAATGGATGATGAAATTTATACTTTTTTTCTTTCTCTAATGAGGTAATCACCTGATTTTCTCCTTTCGTTTATTACTGTAGTAAAATAATTTATTTTTGTAGTTTTCAAAACAATTTTAGTTGAATGTATTAAAAATACAAGTAACTGGGATTTCTGAGTTGGATAATATCTGGTTTTTGATCTGGGTTCTGGTTACACAACTGATCAATTTATGAAAATTCACTAAGCTGTACACTTATGTGTAATTTTATGTATACATGTAATAATCAAATAAAGTTTTAAAAAACAACTAAATTCCTATTTGAAAATAAGAAGCCCTTTCTTCTGAAGGATATTCAGATGTTGCACTTTGCTCTCACATCCACCTTCTAACAGAGGTGAAGAGCTAGCTGGGTTGCTAATATGAAAGCAAGGTCAAATCTTTAAGTGATGCACAACTGACACATTTAATACTCTCAGAATTAGGTAGTGTTTTCAGAATTCAGAGTGTATTAGCTTTATTTTCCGGTGATTCATTCAAACCAAAGAAGTTCGCATTTAGTATTACGCTGAGAGATTGTATTATTTTCTAGGTCCTCCTCTCTAGACAATCTTTGCGTTTGTTCTTGACTGTCTTTGCTTTAGCTGAGATTCTCCAATATGAGTATTTCATTTAGAATTCCATTTATAAGTATTTTTACAACTGCAGATGTCTTTCATATGCCTGCAGGAATTAGTGTAGTCTTACATTATCTTCAAAATACGTTTCCACTCTTGACAGGTTTGTTCCCAATTGAGTTTTTTGTGATAATTGAATTAAGTCAATTCATTTGATTTGAGAAGAACTGACATCGTTACAATTTTTCCTCTTTTCATTCAGATCTTGGTAAACCTCTCCATTATTTCAAGTCTAATTTTATCCCACTCGGATATGATTTTGTACGGTTCTGTAGGTTTCTTTGTATAAATTCTACATATTTCTTATTGGAATTATTTCTGTTTGCTGCATGTTTTTCTTGCTGTTGTTGTTGCTATTGTGAATGGAACCTTTTTTTTTTTTTTTTCATTCAAAAATGAACCCGTGGAGCGATAGGATCTCTACCACCCCTTTCAGCTGTGAGACTCTATGGTTCCTCGGCTCTATGAGAGCATCTTACTCGCACCTACATTATTCGATCCTGAAGGAAGATGGCAACCGAGACTCTCCAAGCAAAAGGTCGCTCTATCTCGCCTTTGTTCGCCTCTCTGTGGCTACCGCGCAGGCGTAGTCGACCCAGTAGCGACCCCGCCTTCCCGGTCGCGGGCCCTTCTTGGTAGCGCCGGCGCACTGGCGCGATCCGTTTACACGCTCCGGGGCCTGTAGGCGCCGCGAGTTCCGGCTGTCGCCGTCGCCGCCGCAGCTCCTGGAGGTCAGTTGCGACGAGTAACGGCGCCAGGACGAGCCCTGCTCTTTCTTCTCCGATATGTACCCGAATTGGGGCCGATATGGCGGGAGCAGCCACTATCCGCCTCCGCCGGTCCCGCCGCCACCTCCGGTGGCGCTTCCTGAGGCCTCGCCCGGGCCCGGGTATTCGAGCTCGACGACTCCAGCGGCCCCCTCCTCCTCGGGCTTCATGAGCTTTCGCGAGCAGCACTTGGCGCAGCTCCAGCAGCTGCAGCAGATGCACCAGAAGCAAATGCAGTGCGTGCTCCAGCCCCATCACCTTCCTCCGCCCCCCCTGCCGCCCCCGCCGGTGATGCCGGGGGGCGGCTACGGAGACTGGCAGCCACCGCCACCACCGATGCCCCCGCCACCTGGGCCGGCCCTCAGCTATCAGAAGCCGCAGCAGTACAAACACCAGATGCTCCACCACCAACGAGACGGGCCTCCCGGTTTGGTTCCCATGGAGCTGGACTCCCCCCCTGAATCCCCCCCAGTACCGCCGGGGTCTTACATGCCCCCGTCTCAATCTTACATGCCCCCCCCTCAACCGCCACCCTCGTACTTCCCCCCGGCCTCGTCGCAGCCCTACTTGCCTCCGGCTCAGCCGTCCCCTTCTCAGTCCCCACCTTCTCAATCCTACCTGGCGCCCACCCCTTCTTATTCTTCCTCTTCCTCCTCGCAGTCCTATTTGAGCCATTCCCAGTCCTACCTGGCCCCTTCTCAGGCATCCCCTTCCCGCCCCTCCCAGGGCCATTCTAAATCCCAACTACTAGCCCCTCCACCACCGTCCACCCCTTCTGGGAATAAGACAACTGTCCAGCAAGAGCCTTTGGAGAGTGGAGCCAAGAGCAAGAATGCTGAACAGCATCAAGCTGCTCCTGAGCCAGATCCTTCTAAGATGACTCCACAGGTAAGAAAGCGTGTACCTGAGCCACATCTTTTCACCTAGAGGGCCCTAAGTGAGCAGGCCTAGGGCTTTACACACAGTCCTTAGCCTAGTTCCAAAACACCATGACTAGCTAATTTGTACTCCACAGGATTCCATGAGTCTGAGGTCTGACTGCCCAGCTTTTTAATTAGCTAAATGTGGATTATTAAAATAACAGTGTTTGAAGATGTTTCTAGACACCACAGAGTAGTGAGGTGGCTCAAGAGTTACTTCTCAGATATACTCCTTGGTTTTCTTTGACCAACCTCTCACATTTTGCTGGGGTTGCAAAGGGCTTTGTTTCATCATTGTATTTTAAACCAAAACTTCCATTTAAGAGGCAACATAAATAAAAGAAGCTTCTGACAGGGGTGACATTTGAAATGCATATAAACTTTAGGACCAGTAAACTTCTTTAAAAAATTATTTAGGGGCCACCGCTTGCTGTCAGCTTCTTGAATTAAGAAGTCTAATCAAATGAAGGATAGAAATCTTGCTCTTATCAGGAGCATTCTAATTATGCTTATAGATGCATTCACAATACATGGGGAATCTACACATTTGACCCTTTTAGGAGTCTATTGGTCATTTAAGAAATTGACCCATTCATGCTTGCCTCACATCACTTAGATTTAAGACATGACCAGTTTGCTGCATTGCATTGTTACCATTGCATTGTTACCAGTAACAGCCTTGGAATTTGGCCAATGTTAAAAAAAAAAAGTGTTCGTGATATCACTTCATTCATGAGAGAACCATTCCTCTAAATTTCTGTTTGATGTTTCCCACAGAATGGACAAAGATTGATAGGATGGCAGTAATAAATGAATTCCTTCCCTAAGAAGAAAGATAGAACTAAAGTGGAATAAATCATTTCTGAGGATTTCTTAGACACTTTTAGCAATTACTAATCTACCTAAGATTGCCAAATGAAAAAAGAGAATCTTTTCATTTACACTTAAATTTACATATAAAAGATTTCCAAAAGATAGGAAGGCAGTATTCTAATTTTACAGGGGTTTGGCTTTAGAAAGTAAGAACAGAAGCAAGTTGTTTTAAGTAAGCAAGATGATGTGCTTGGCACATCATCAGGAGAAAACACTTAAGATGCTGGGGTAAAACAATGGAAGAAGTGATTCTGTTGGCTTACACCAGAGCTCCATCCCACGAGGTTATTTCCCCCAGATTCCTCTATTACATAGAGAGAATTTGTCTGCTTTCACACCCCACTCTGAAATTTTCAGTGCTTTTGTAGTCACTCTCAGAGTTAGTCCAAGCCAAAATATGACATTTATGTTTTCATCTCTATTAGACTTTTTCTGGCCTTGGAGAGACAAAGGAATTGGTTTTTTTTGGGTGGGGGATCAGACCTGTCTTTAATATAAATTCCATGAGCACTGCTTTTGCTTTTCTACCTTTTTACCCATGTCTTTAGTGAACTCCTTTCAGTGCTTTGAATACTCAGTGCCTCCAGTTCTTTGGTGAAAGCAGGAAAGAAAGTGGTCCAAAGATGAGGCTTAAGAGGTATGAATGGGCCAGATCAAGAACGGCCTTGTAAACCTGTATCGGCTTTCTTACCTCTGTCTAGACTTCATCCCACTTCCTCAAACCTCTTTTCCCCCCTTATATTGCTTTCAAGGCACATCTCAAATATCAAGGTCTCTGTGAAGCCATACCTAAGGTTAGCCATCAGGTTTGGTTCTGTTCTTCGGATTGTAAGTCCCTTGCAGACAGGGACTACTTCATTCATCTTTTTGTCCCTTGTAGCACCTAGGCTAGTGCCTTGAAAATAGTAGGCTCTCCACAAAGATTTGTTGAATAAGATACAAGAGTTGTCATGTTCTAGACTTAGGGTACTTTGGTTTATTGGATGGTAATACATTTTCTTCACGCCAATGCCAATCTCTGACAATTAACCCCTCTGTATATTTATTATCCTTTGGTTCCTATTTTATTTTTGGAAAATGTCATTTAAAATGTTTATGGTGAAAGATTTTAAATATACAGAAGTTCCCCCATTATTTGCAGTTTTCTTTCCACTGTTTCAGTTAGCCAGTCAACCGCTGTGCAAAAATATTAAATGGAAAATTCCAGAAATGCTTAATGTAGCATGCTATTCTGAGTAGCGTGATGAAATCGTGCTCCATCCTGTGAAGGTATCTTGCTCCATTGTGTTCCGTTCCACCTGGGATGTGAACCACCCACCATATCCACCCTGTATCAGCTACCCACCTGTCAGTCCATTCGTAGATCAACTTGCAGTGTTGTAGGGCTTGTGGTCAAGTAACCCTACTTTAGTGAATAATGGCCCCAAATGCAAGAGTAATGATACTGGCAATTTGGATATGCCAAAGGGAAGCCATAAAGTGCTTCCTTCAAGTAAAAAGGTGAAAGTTCTCGACTTAATAAGGAAAGAAAAAAATTGTAGGCTTAGGTTGTTAAGATCTGCGGTAAGAATGAATCTTCTATCCATGAAATTGTGAGGAAGGAAAAAGGAATTCATGGTAGTTTGCTGAGAGCAACCACGTTCACATAATTTTTATTATAACAGTATATTGTAATTGTTTTATTATTAGTTGTTAATCTCTTATTGTGCCTAATTTATAAGTTAACTTTATTATAGGTATGTATGTAGAGGAAAAAACATGGTATATATAGGGTTTGGTACTATCTGCATTTTCAGGCATCCATTATGGGTTTTGGAATGTATCTCCCATGGATAAGGGGGGACTACTGTACACAAAAGTAGAGAAAATGGCATGATTACCCCCATATACCCATCATTCACCTTCAACAACTGTCAAGATTTTGCCATTTTTACCTCACCTATGCCCTTTCCATTGTTCCTGCTGAAATATTTTAAAGCAAATCTTAGATCTCATGTTACTTCATCCCTAAATTCTCTGACATGTTTAAAAAAGAAAAAGACTTGTGGTAAGGTAAACACATTATAACACCTAACAAAATCAATAACTTCTTTGTATCATCTAATACCTGATCCATTCAAATGTCCCCTATTTTCTCATACTAATGGAATTAAAACTAATTTCTTGGTATCATCCATGCTAAAAACTTCTCCAATGGATTTAATAATGTTTTGTTGATTTGTTCAAATCAGGATCTGATATAGACATTTTGGAGCAGGATAATTCTTTGTTATGGGGGATGTCCTATAGGATGTTGAGCAGCATCTCTGGCCTCTACCTACAAAATGCCAGTAGAAGCCCCTAGTTGTGACAACAGGAATGTCTCCAGACAATGCCAAATACCTCCCACGGGGGTAAAATCACCCTTAGTTGAGAGAAAACTCCTGATTTAGATCAGTTTCTCAGATTTTCTTTTTCTGTCTCATGCTGTTGAACTTGAAAAATCTGTGTCAGTTGTCCTGTTAGAATGTCTGGATTTGTCTGCTGTTTCATGGTGTCATTTGACTTGTTTCACCTTTTAACTAGAAGTTAATTCTGAAGCCTTCTTAGAATTAAGCAAGTGTACTTTATAACCTAGGTGGTGCTGTGTACTTCATTCACTTCCATTTGGGAGGCACTCAGTGCCTCCCATGGTTACTGGTACCAAGATTGATCAAGGGGTGACAGTGTTGTCCCTCCACTGTAAAGCTTCCCATCAGTCTTACATCTAATGTTTCATCTAGTGGTTCATCCATTAATGATCTTTGCCTGAGTAAATTATGTCTTCATTAGAGATTCAACATGGTGATTTTTTCCTGCCATTTCTTCTACATTTATTATATGGAATTCTATAAAGAAAACCTTTCACTCATGAACCAGGACTATTTGATTGGAAATGTAGTTAGTATCGGAAAGACAGGATAAATGCTTGACATTCTCCCATTTATTTTCTAGTTTTCAGAGTAAAATGTTGGTGATTTAATGAAATGTGTCTTTTTTCAAGAATTACATTTTCTGTGTGTTTAATGGACTGACTAGGTATAGTGCGTACTAACCTTTTTTCATGAATTGTGATTTTATTCTTTTATTCTCAAAAGTTATTTAGGAAAAGCTGTTGACTTTGATTAGAGTTTTTGTCATTTATTTAATGTTCAAGTATTTATTGAATAGTAACTGTGTGCCAAGAACTGTGCTTAGTACTGGAGATGAAATGGTGAATAAGATAGACATGGTACCTGCCCTCATTGACTTGTTCTGATGGGGAGGGTGCAAACACATTTATTAAGTAATTAAGGGAAGCATAGGATGCTGTGGGATTATAACATGTAAAATATCGCTAGATTGTTTCATAAGGATTGGGAAAAAGTGAGCAAGTTTTTAGCTCACCATTATATTCATTCACAGTGCCTTGTCTAGGGTCTAGCACATAGGTGGAGAACAAATATTTTTTAAATGATTAAATATAGCAGGGCATTCTAACCTAATTGAAGAAGCCTTCCTTTGTAAGTGGTATTTAAGTGAAACCCAAAGAATGGGTAGGGATTAACGAATAGAGTTCAAAGAATTAAAAGTTCAGCGAGGTTTACCAAAAGCTCAGAGTGACAATGGTAGACACAAACCAGATTGGGAAGGGCCTATGAGGACTTTCTTAAGGGCAGTAGGAAGCCAGTGAATATACAGGCAAATGTGACAGATTGGCTTTTTTGAAAGCTCGTTCTGCTTGCTTTGTAAAGAGTGGAATCAAAAGGAGCAAAGTGACTCAGAGAGAATAGTTAATAAATAATCCAGGCAAGAAATGATAGTGGCTTGGACTTGGATGGGAATCGTGGAGATGGAGACAAGTGGAAAGACTGGAGAAATGCTTAGGCGCTAGACTCCAGTTGGAGACTGAGCAGTAGTGGAGAGGGAGGCATCAGTGATGATTCCTGGATTTCTGGGATAGGCTGCTGGGTGGATGATGGTCCCTTTTACAAATAAAATAGGAAACCCTAAGGGAGGCAGAAGAACAGATCTGGGGATGAGGGGGAAAATGATGAGTTAGTTTTAGACCTACTAAGCTTCAAGTCCTTGAGACTT